TGCATACAGTCGAACCTGTTCGGATTCGAGCTGCACGGTGCGCAGCAACCTTGACCTCGATCGCCTGGAAGATCAATCGCTCGCTCAGAGGTTCCTTTTTAGTTTTCCGTTCGCCGCCCGGTGCCCCGTCAGGCCCGACCAAAGACCATGCGCAAGGCCGAGTCTTGTTTTTTTTGTTCCTCCTCCTGCTCCTCCTCCTCCTCCTGCTCCTCCTCCTCCTCCTGCTCCTCCTCCTCCCCCGATCCTCCTTCTCCTCTTCGTCCTCCTCCTCCGCCTCCTCTTCTTACTTACCCTCTTGCATCCTCCTCCTCTTCCTCCTCCCTATCCTTCTTTTCCTCCTGGGCCTCTCCCTTTCAGCACCTGGGCGCTCGAAGCAAGTATAGAACAGAGTATCACGGAGGTAGACATGAGGGGTCACCAGCTGCCCAGGCTCCCGACTCCAACTCCCCCTCCTCGTTCCCTCCCTCGCCCGAAGGACCAGCTCCGCAACGTTTGCGTGGAGAGGACCGACATCCGGGTGAACAAGATGGCCCAGTAGGCGTTCGGCGGCCGCCCGGCGGCCGGTGCTCCATGCGCCGGCCTCGCGGCCGCGAGGATGATGACCGAGCGCGAGTGACGCGGCCGTTCCCCGCGGAGGATGACGGCGGCGAAAAAGAGGAGGAGGAGGAGGAGGAAGACGAGGAGGAGGAGGCGGCAAAAAGGAGGAGGAGGAGGACGAGGAGGAGGAGGAGGACGAGGAGGAGGAGGTAGAGGAGGAGGGAGAGGAGGAGGGAGAGGAGGGAGAGGAGGGAGAGGAGGAGGAGGAGGAGGAGGAGGAGGAGGAGGAGGAGGAGGAGGAGGAGGAGAGGAGGGGGGCGATGCGGAGGAGGAGGAGGACAACGACGAGGAGGACGAGGAGGACGAGCAGGAGGAGGCGGCGAAAAGGAGGAGAAGGAGGAGAAGGAGGAGAGACCAAAGCAAACCCAAGGTTCATCAGCGATACTGCAACAATAGAGCCCCCCGTCCCAAGTCACCTCACACGTCCTTACAGGCTTTCTCTTTCACTAAAAGAGGCGCCACCTTCAACCACCTTATGGACCTGCCCCCGCTTTAAAAATAGATCGCCTTGCATCACTCTAGCGCATTACCAGAATTGCGAGAAAGTGCGATAAGTATGTTTAATGACGTGTCCAATGAGGTCATTGTTTAAAAAGATGGTCGCCACCCATCCGTGCAACGGTTACACCAGCTTACAAGTTTGATCACGAACGTCGCGGAGTGAAGATGTTACATCTGCTGATGTTTCTTGCATTACCTATTTCAGGAAGGCTCAGGCGATAGCCCAGCTGCTGAAAGGAAACATGTTCAATTCGTGCTGCGGATGCAATAATATGCTCAAATAGACGTTCGCGGCGCTACGGCGAGAGCCCCATTTTGAAAACGACCCGCTTGCCACCAATGGCGTCATCATGAGCACCATCAGCATCATCATCTTCAGCAGCAGCAGCATCATCGTCATCATCCGAAGCATCAGCATCATCACCATCACCATCACCATCACACATCATCACCATCGCCTTCAACATCACCATCAAGAACATCATCACCACCACCACCATCATCATCCTCACCAGTATCATCATCACCATCATCGTGATCAGCAGAATCACCATTATCACCATCTTCACAACAAGCATACTAATCACCATCATCATCATCAGTGTCATCATCGTTGTTATCATCAGCATCATCGTCATCATCAGCGGCGTCATCAGTATCGTCGTTATCAGCATCATCATCATCAGCGTCATCTTTATCATCAGCATCATCACTAGCATCATCGTCATCATCATCCTCAGCGTCATCGTCATCATCACCGTCACCATCGTCATGGTCACTGGTACCTTCAAAATATGCAGGTGTCACGATCTGGCCTCTGTGTGTTGACAAGTTTTGCCGTGTCTCTGGCCCCGTGGGATTTGATTTGCATGTTGGGGAATGCATTGCTTTGGTCTGTCGGGATGGTGATCTCGATCTCTGTGGGCATCTGGCGGCTTTATGCAATCATGGTACCGTTACCAGGGCGTCAGCGTCGGCGTTGGTATCAATCCCCAGTATTATCGTACTCAGTGCGGTAAGTATTGCTTGAGGGCTTGCAAGATGTGGTTGGTGGGGGTGTTCGCCTGGCAGGGTACAGCGTTGCCTACAACATTCGTTATGTGTCGGTCCTAAGCTGTGTACCCCATTTACATGAGCCGACCCATCGCCTCCTCATGTCGAAGACCGCCCTCTTCAGATCATCCTCGCTGGCCCCCGTTACAGCTTCAACGGCCCTATGGTGCGCACCCTCATCGACTCAGGCTGTAACGCCCAGCGTGTGTCTACCAAGCATGTCGGCAGGCGTTGGTATATCGCACTGCTAGTAGCTCAAGCGATTGGTGGAAGTTTCAGCAAGACGTGTCGGCCTTGCGTGAACAGTCGTTGTACCTGATCCCGTACATGGTCGAAGTCTATTCTGTTGTTCCCCCATTGGTTCGCGCGATCCGCCCCGATGATCCCCACTCAGTGACGCAGGCGCAGATTACCAAAGCGCTTCGAAGTGATGGCCTCCCCAGTGCAATGTCTGGTGAAGTTGATTGTCGTGCTCTGAAATGGCTGCCCCTCCCGCTCCCTCCTGATAGTTTGTTTCCCGTTTGTAAGTTGCGGGTGAAGAAAGTCTGCAGTTCAGTTTCGAGGTTTACTCTGTCGGGGGGGGGCGCCTGCCCGATGTCCTTCCCATCCCAAGCGAGGCCCGTTCGGATGCAGTGACGGTCGTGCTGACCAGTCGCACCATTGCATTGCTTTAGGGGAGTTGGCCTCTTCTCCTCTTGGATTCGTTTGCTCTTTCCTCTCGGAAGAGTTGCTCCATGTCCAGCCATTTGTGCGTCGATGAGCGCCCCCCAAACACTAAACATGATGTGGTTATGTGCATGCTGACGGATTGCGTTCTGGCGGATTGCGTTGCGCACGCTCATTCGCAGTGTCGTATCCAGGCCCATGTTAATTCGTCCCCCGAGCATGTGTTCGAAGGCAGGCTTCGTTCGTTAATGCTTCGCCACCTTCAGTCCCGAGTAGCCATCCAGTTTGTCAGCAATCCTCACAGCTGGATCTCGGACCCGTGGTACTTCGAGTTCGTGCGTAGTTCAAGTGCAGCTGATTATGTTCGAAACCTGGCACAGCTGCCCTTGCGTGCGCGAGGCCCTGGCAAGTACGCGCGTTCCGCTCCTTGGTGGGTGTTCGTTTCTGTGCCTGCCCTCTTGTGTCCCCACTGCGTGCTCCCATGCTGTGATTGCGTTCGTCGCCTTTGCTTCTGCTGCGCACCGTCTCCAGCGTGCTGTTCTTGCTGCTGTTATGTTGTGTGTGTCGCTGCTGGTGGTGGTGGTTGGGTTGCCCTTCGCCGCGGCTTCTTGGCCTTGTGATCGCGATCTACTCGGGGGTGCGATGGCACCGAGGAATAATGAGATTGTCTCTGGGTTGGCAGCGTTCCGCTGCGCCTCGTTCGTTGTGTCGTGTTGCTGCAGCGGCCATGTTCTTCCCCCCCCCCTCGCGCCGCCGCTGCTGGTGGCGATGTTGGCTGACATCCAATTCCGGCCTGCTCTTTTTCTGCCGCCCGCCCGCCGCCCGCCGCCCCACCTTTCGTTCAAGTGCATAGGCGGGGCGCCGTTGCCGCTGTGGTCCCTGTCGGGATGGAGGCAGGTTCCGCTGGATCTGTTGCGGTTGGATCTTCGGCCCCACCGCCGCCTCCTCTATGGCAGTTCAGTCGATGCGACCAAGTTGGGGCTTCGCATCTCGGCTCCTTGCTATGTTCTGTTGTCTTCGCCCGTGCGCGAGGTCCTGGCGAGTACGGGTTTTCATCCGCCCGTGGTTGCCGCCGCCGCCGCTCTCTTGGTTGCTCTCCGACAGTATCGGGTGGCGAGCTTTCTGTATAATTAGCCTGATCGCGCTTGATCGTGTTCTTCTCCCCTCCTTGCTTGGTTGCCTTGGCGCCCAGTCAACATGGGTTGGGATGGCCTGGCTTCGTTTGCGCCTGGAGCCGCGGACTGTGCTCCACCCATTGCTGCTGTGAATCATTTGTTCACGCAATGCGTTTCCAGACAATCCTCGGTCGCCCCCTTTCTCATTATCATCTGCCCCGTGGAAAACAGCATCATTGCAACGATCATCATCATCATCATCATCATCATCAGCATCATCAGCAGCAGCAGCAGCATCAGCATCAGCATCAGCATCAGCATCATCATCATCATCATCATCATCATCATCATCATCAGCAGCATCATCATCATCATCGTCATCGTCATCGTCATCGTCATCATCACCACCATCGCCGTGGGCAGTACCATCATCACCATCATCAGTACAACCACCATCACCATCACAAACATCTCCATCATCGTCGCCATCATGAGCATCACCATCGCCAACATCATCACGACAATTATACCATCACCACCGTCCCCATCACCATGACCAGCATCCACCACAATCATCATCGCCATGAGCATCATCTCAGCAGCAGCAGCAGCAGCATCTGCATCAGCATACTTATCATCAGCATCAGCATCATCGGCACCCCACCGCCATCACCGTCATCATCAACACCATCACCATCATCATCAACACGATCACCACCATCATCACCACCATCATCATCACCAGCATCGTCATCATCAGCATCATCACCAGCATCATCATCAGCATCAGCATCAGCATCATCTGCATCATCTGCATCACCATCATTATGTGTATTCCGTATTACCTTCTTCTTTCACATCTTCCTATAGGTATTGTTCGCCCTTTTGCTTGTGTTCGTTTTCTTCCTCCTCCTCCTCCACCACTCCCTCCTCCTCCTCCTCCTCCTCCTCCTCCTCCTCCTCCTCCTCCTCCTCCTCCTCCTCCTCCTCCTCCCCGTCTTCCTCCCCCTTCTTGCTGCCCTCCCTGCCTCCCTCCCCCTTCCCCCTACCTCCCCCCCCCTCTTGCAGGAACAGGACGGTATAGGGGGGGCAGGACACGGGAGCGCCGCGGCGGCCCTGGCTCCCAGCCCCGCGCCCCGAGCTCCACGCCTCATGGCGCGGAGGCCCCCAGCTGTCAGGCCGCCGGCGACGGGGCCTCCCTGAAGGCCCAGTGTCCCGGCGGGGGGGGCGCCCCTGCCTTGCCTCCCGCCCTCTTCCTCCCGCCTCCGCCTCCCTCCTGCTTCCTGTCCCCTGCTGCCGCCTCCTGCCTCATGCTGCCCCCCTCCTGCCTCTCTGCCTCCTGCCTCCTCCCCGCCTCCTCCATCCCTCCTCCTGTCTCCTGCATCCCCCTCCTTGTTGCCTCCTCCCAAGACCTCCAACACACTGGACAATTCAAGACGGCTCGTCTCGTCGTTTTCGGCCTCCGGGGGCCTTCACCAGGCCCTGGGACCGCCAAAAAGCGACCCGGGATGAAAAAGCGTTCCCGAGGAAGGGGTCGGGACTCTTGGGGGCCGCGCGTTGGAGAAAGAAACAAACAAAAAACATCGGATGTATGGATCCCGCCTTCCTCCTCCTCCTCCTCCTCCTCCTCCTCCTCCTCCTCCTCCTCCTCCTCCTCCTCCTCCTCCGCCTCCTCCGCCTCCTGCCTCCTCCCGTCGGCACCCCAGCACAAAAGGGTTCGTCGTAGGCCGAGATACCGTGCTTGTGGACGCTGCTCGGGCAGATCAGATCTTCAAATCAAGGCGGGGCTGGCTGCTCCTCCCCATCTGGTCCCTCCTACTGGCGCGTTGGCCGCGTCCGTCGGCGGGGTTTGGAGGGGGACTGGTGTCGTCGACCTGATGCCTCTCTCGTTTTGTACCCAGCTCCCGTGACGGAGTCTCCCGTCACCGAGAAGCGAGAACCTTTAACCCTCATACAGCAGTGAAGACGTAGCCTAGCTTAGGTTCCCGTCTTCGCGTGTGAGATGATCAACATGGGTGGTTTGGATCGATAAACCTGTTGAAAACGCACCCTATCCCTAATGTTTCGGGGCTCTTCAGCTGGGGTCCGCTCCCAAATGGTTCGGGGCCCTGAGATTGTGAAGACGGCCTACAGGTGGACCCCAAGGTCACCCCATCACGGCCCGGGCACGGCCCACGACCGCCCCGAGGCGCGCAGCCTCGGGCCTCACAAGTTTTCTAAGCTCTCCCTGGAGGCACAGAAACTTCTCAGAAGGCCGAGGGGGCTTCTGAGAAGCCCCGCCGCCTTCTGAGGAGGCCTCCTCCTCACTTCCCCCCCTCGCTCGCCGCCGATACACGCCCATGACGCCATCCAGGCGGTCCAAGAGGCGCTCAAGACGCACGAACAGGCGCCCGATATGAGCTTCGAAAAGCCGCCCGAGGGTAGAACATAAATGTTGTGATGTTTTAGTGCGGTTGGCTGATTTTCGGGCTCTCCGCTGTTTGACCTTGAACGCTCCAAGAAGCGCGAAGGGGCTCCAAATATCGTCCCAAGACTGCCCCAGAACGCTCCGAGACTGCCTGCCAGGCTCCCCCCAAACAAAGGTTCAAGACATGTTTAAAGCGCCCCTAGGGTGGCCCCAGTGTGTGGACACGAAATGAGATTTCGAGCCTCTCCCCAAAGATGCATACCGAGCCCGCCAGGAGGCTCCCAAGACGCTACCAAGAGGCCAGTGCGCCCCCAACGTGCCCCGCGAAAGACCCCAGGGACTCGCACAGCACCTCTCCGCCACGTTCGGGACCCCTCCCACATGCTGCCCGTGGCAGCCCAGTATAGATCCATGAGGTCTCGCAACGGCCCTCGAGGACGCCATAGTTCGAGTAGGGGATCGACTACAGAAATGATGCACCCCAAAATTCATTTTCGCTTCGACGTTACGAAGCAAATGCGTAGAAGGTTCGTAGATGTACGGGTCATTCGACGCATTTTCGTAGATCCGACGAACAAATCAAGCTTGGGGCAAATCCATTCTGTAGTCGACCCCCTACTCGAACAGTCGAGGACAGCCTCCCAGAGACCCACCGACGGACCCTCGCCCAGGCTCCAGCACACTCCCGCCGGAGCGTGCTTGTCCGCCCCCCCTTGCCGCCTTCCCAGGGCAGTCCATGCAGAGCTTCTTCCTGTCTGTTTCCCGGGGCCCCGCGCCCATTCCCCGTATCGGGTGTTGCTGGAAGTACCCCTGGCCCAAGGTGCCTCCAGGATTTCCAAGGAGGCCCCCACGGCCTTCAGGGCACCCCTCACGAGGCCCAGGGGTCCCCAGAGGCTCCAAACTGGAGCGAAAAGTTGGGGGTACCTTGGACCATGGGCACCTTCAGCAACACCCGACTCTGTTTCCCGGGCCCCGGGCCCATACCCCAAACAAAGTCAAAGCCCCCCAGCTTGTCAGCGAGCTAGAGCCCCTCTCTGAACGCTGGTGGTACGCCGCGGGGAACTCTGGCACGTTCTGCGCATATGGGAGGCCAGTTCGCATGGAGCAGCTCTCTGAAAGCGAGCAGCGGCGATGTGAACCGAGTGTGCGCCACATGGACCCCGCGCACGAGTGTGGCCGGATGCCGCTGAGGAACGGCGGATTCAGTGACCGCGCAACGTGTCGCAATTGCGACCAAAAACCGAATGATTCTAGCATGTCTAGTGGCCTTCGGCCCATCTCGCCATATCGTTTGGGTTGCAGGTCGGAGGCCTCTGGCATGATTGTGAGGATTTCCTGGGAGGCCTCTCGGAAGCCTCTTGGATTCGGTTTTGGGGTGTGTTGGGGGCCTCTCGGAGGCCATTTTGGGCCGTCTGGGGGCGCTCTAGAGGGCCTCTTGGGCCGTCGCGGGGCGATCTCTGGAGCCTCTCGGGCCGCCTTGACGCGTCCAAAGCCAGAAAAGGCGAGAACACTTCAATCAGAGGCAGCAGCGTGGAATGGGGACTCCCCGTTGCAATGTCCCGGCGGAGAACCGCGGGTCACGCCCGGAGGACGCGAGGAGGACATTCACCTCCACGCCCATATCTTCATTGGCGTCCACCACCTCAGCCTCCTGCGTCCTCCGCAACAAGCACCTGCTCGTGCACCTTCTCAAGCAGCACCACCCTGGCATCCCCCTCCCCATCGTCCTCCTCCTCCTCCTCTTCCTCCTCCTCCTGGCCATCCTGGTCCTCCTCCTCCTCCTTTTCGTCCTCCTCGTCCTCTTCCTCCTCCTCGTCCTGCTGCTTTCCCTCCTCCTCCCTTACCTCCTCCTCGTCCTCCTCCACCTGCCCCTGCACCAGATCATCCTTCTCCTTCGCCTGCTCCTTGTCCCCTTCGTCCTCCTCCTGCCCGTCCTTTTCATCTTCGCTGCCCCCCTCCTCCACCCTCACCGTTCTCCTTTTGCGCCTCCTCCCACTCTTTTTCGTCCTCCTCCTCGCCCTCCTCCGCCTTCTCCCCCTTCTCCCCCCCTCTCCCTCCTCCTCCCTCCTCCTTCCTCCTCCTCCTTCCTCCTCCTCCTCCTCCTCCTCCTCCTCCTCCTCCTCCTCCCGCTCCTCCTCCTCCTCTTCCTCCTCCTCCTCCTCCTCCTCCTCCTCCTCCTCCTCCGCCTCCTCCTCCTCCTCCTCCTCCTCCTCCTCCTCCTCCCCCCCCTCCTCGTCCTGCTCCTCGCCCCCATCGCACTCCTGCTCAGCGCCCCCATCGTCCTGCCCCTCCCTCTCGCGCAGCCCGGGAACGCCGCATGGCCGGCGCCTCGGCCGCGGGGCGGGGGCGCCGAGTACGCGTCGGCGACGTGCTCCCGCCCAGACTTCCGGCGGATGGGCCCAGACCTCCGGCGGATGGGCCCAGAACTCCTGGGCGGGTCTGAAATGCGGCGCCCAGGTGCGGTTGCGGTTGCGCGCCCGCGGACGGGTCGAAATGTGTCGCGTAGTTGCGGTTGCGGTTGCGCGCCCGCGGGCGGGTTGAAATGCGTCGTCCAGTTGCGGTTGCGCGCCCGCGGGCGGATTGAAATGTGTCGCCCATGTGCGGTTGCGGATGCTGTTGTGCGCCCGCGGGCGGGTCGAAATGCGGCGCCCAGTTGCGGTTGCGGTTGCGCGCCCGCGGACAGGTCGAAATGCGTCGCCCAGGTGCGGTTGCGCGCCGGCGGGCCGGTTGAAATGTGTCGCCTAGGTGCGGTTGTGGTTACGCGCCCGCGGACGGGTCGAAATGTGTCGCGTAGTTTCGGTTGCGCGCCCGCGGGCGGGTTGAAATGTGTCGCCCAGTTGCGGCTGCGGTTGCGCGCCCGCGGGCGGGTCTGAAATGCGTCGCCCAGGTGCGGTTGCGGTTGCGCGCCCGCGGACGGTTCGAAATGTGTCTGTCGCCCAGTTGCGGTTGCGCGCCCGCGGGCGGGTTGAAATGCGTTGTTCAAGGCGCCCTCCTGACGTTCAGTCAGTCAATCAGTCAGTCAGTCAGTCACCAGCGGGCGCGGAATTTCACCCAGCTCCGCTGGAAGAAACACATCGAATGCAATCAATGATGATGTGGACATTTCGGGGCCCTCTTTGGGGGAGGTGTTCCTGGGGGCCTCTTCGGCCATCCCGTGGCCATCCAAGGCGTTTTGGAGCGTTCGTGGGGCAACCCGGAGCCATCCATGGCCTTTTCGGGCGCTGCTCGGGGCCCCCTTGGCCCATCGTGGGTCCCCCGGGAGGGCGCGAGAGCGCCCAAAGTGGATCCGAGGACATCATCTCGCGCCTCAGGGCACGGCAGATATAAGTACACATGCATCGTGCATCAGACAAGAAATGGCGGCCAGCTTGGACCCCGGACTCCAAGCAGTGAGTCTGTGCACCCCGCTTGCGCAGCGGATGTCGTAGCAGCAGTGTCGCGCAAACTATGGTGATACCAGCTGTGTTGCGGAGGTTATGTGGTGCAGTTGACAACCCTGCACCGCGCTTGACCACTCCACTGCTCGCGAAAACATCCCACCCACCCACCCGCAACTTGGTTTGCAAAATCTCTTAAGACCGTGACGGTGGGTACCAAATGGCACTTGCCAAACACAGCGACGCCGACGACGACAACGACAACGACGACGACGACACCGCCAACAACGACTACGACGACACCGACGACGTTTCCAACGACCTCGACGACGCCGACAACGACGACGACGACGACGACGACGACGACGACGACGACGTTTCCAACGACCTCGACGACGCCGACAACGACGACGACGACGAC